AAATAATTATAATTTATAAATAATAAATTATTTATTATTTACATGAATTATTAAAAATAAATAATTAAACAAATAAATATATTCAACAAAAATTAAACATTAATTTTTTATTATTATTATTTAATTAAAAAAATTTATTTAAAAAAATTTTTTCTCTTGATTGCCAATATTCGGCCAATATTGGACCAATATTAACAACCGATGCTTGGCGAACCCGTTACATCCCAAGCATCAGCCCATATTGGTCCAATATTGGGAGCCTTTATTGGACCGATGATTGGTCTCTTGGCTCCCAATATTGGACCGATATTGGACCGGTAAGAAATTTCTCACTGGGTCGTTGCCGACTAATTTAAAAAAATTATAAAATTTTGCAGGAATGATTTTAAAGATATTAGGATCATCGAACAAAAAGAATTTTTTAAATATTTTTTATATTTATTGTAAAATAAGCATATTATTATTGCCCAATTTTCGTAATTTTTCATTTTTCTGGGCAGAAGTTATTTACATTTTAAAATCGTGAAAATAAGCAAAGTGCCAGTTTTAATTGCTTCTTTTTTAACATTTGTGAAGAAAAAAGGAAGAAAGTGATAAGAAAAACTAAAAGTTATTAAAAGTTTCTTTATATTTCATAAGGTTTTATTCAATTTAATGATTTCTCTTTCTCACATTTAGCGAATAAAATTTGCAAAAATAGGTTATTTGCCAGGTGAACTTTAATAGTTATTTATGATACAAGTGCGTAAAATCGTTGATTATACGAGTGTGACGTTTGCAGCACTCGCCTTCGGCTCGAGCTGCAAACGTCACACTCGTATAATCTGATTTACGCACGAGTGTCATACAAAATTTTTTGCAACACTAAAACAACTAAACTTGCAGCAATATTGCCAATATTACTGAAAGTTTAGGTGTAGTGGGGGAACTGTTAAATGAAGTTTTCTAGAAGCTAAAATAAAAATGTGATTGTAAATTGTTGTTTAAAAGCTTTAATTCATGGTTTCTCATCAAACAGTCACAAGAATGCGTAAAGTAATCATTTTACGCACTGAAAATCACTTTACACACTGGAATTCATTTTACACACTGCTAGCGGTGTGTAAAGTAACACTTTACACACCGCTATAAAATGAAGTACTTTACACACAGTTTTCTGTGTGTAAAATTCAATTTTACAGGTTAGTGTTGCAAAAAATAATTTTTTATTTAATATTTCTTAATAATAATTGTTTCTATCAATTTATAATAATCAAATAATTCATTCATAATAAATTCTAATAATTTTTTTACGTTTTCATAGTAAATTATGTGTTTTCTTTAATATTTTCTAATAGACAGTTTTTACGACTTTATATACAGTCGGGTCCCCATACTGTTACATTTCCAGAAATTTCCCACTCCTCCAGACTCAGCTCTGTTATGTGCTCAAAGTATGTCTACTGCGCACCTTTCAGGAACGTAAATATATACACCTCAAGTTTGGCCTAGAAGTATATGCCCCCTTTTCTTTGGGCGTAAGAATACGGCCCTGAAAATTGGTGACATAACGTGACGTCACCTAACACTTCTGAATTTGGAGGTTATGCAAAAACATAACACTACTGAGGACATAACAGTTTGGAATCTAACAGTATGGGGACCTGACTGTACAAAGAGCTTGAATGAATCCCGCTTTCTACCAAAATCTTAATTCATTTCAATCCGTTTGAATTAGTTTTTTTTACTGGGATGCTTATTTTACAATAAATATAAAAAATATTTAAAAAATTCTTTTTGTTCGATGATCCTAATATCTTTAAAATCATTCCTGCAAAATATTATAATTTTTTAAAATTAGTCGGCAAAGAGTTTAGTCGAAATATAATGGAATGACTCATATATATAATATTTATTATAGATTGTAATTTATAATTTAATTTAAATAATAATAAATTACTACAAAAAACTTTTACTTAAAAAAATAAAACTTTACTGTAGAACGTTATTTTCATTTATTTATCTAAAGTTGATAATAAAGGCAGAAAAATATTTGACTTTATAATTTTTTAATATTCGCGGTCTCATCGATGCGCATGTGCGCAAGGTGCGCAGCCAATTTTCCCAATATGGCCGAAAATGTACTTGTTGATATTATCGCAGGCGGCACACGATAACTAAAAGGCATCAAAATGTTAACATCTACTCAAAACGATAACTAGAAGTTATCAAAAAGAGAAGTGTGCCCGCTGGGTATGTTACGAATTCAATTTCAATGTTCAGCGTTGGCACTTATACTTGCGTTACGCTGCGTATATACGGCCATGACCTGGTGACTAGTGAATACGGCTTAAGCCTGTGAACAGAGTAAGGCCGCAGTCCCATGGCAGCGTTTTGCGTTGCGTTGTAATAAGAGAGAATGCAGCAAACGTATATTTGCGTCTTTTTCTCTCCCATTACGACGCAACGCAAAACGCTGCCATGGGACTGCGACCTAAAGTTTGGCGGCGCGAACGCCGACCGACCACGGTGTGCACGGCAACACAGCCGGAGAGCAAATAAATAGCACTCCGTCTACGTTCCCGTGAACCAATGTAATTCGAGTAGATAAATATGTTTAAATTATAAAATATAAAAGCATGAGATTAAAGGAAGAAAGTAAACAATTATATTTTAATATTAGCGCGTTTTAAGAATCTAAAAACATGAGAGACGACTCTTGGATTAGGGTTAGAGAGAAATTGTACACTGCAAAATGGAGGGGGACACTTTAAAGCTCTTGAAAGGGCTTTAATTAAGTCTGGACGAAATGTGTCGAATCTGGGACAAGACCAAAGAATGTGATCGAGATCTTCATCAATATTTGGACAGTGTATACAATCGCCAGACTGAATGTAATATTTTCTAGCGAGACTAGCACCAAGGTTATAGTGATTACTTCTTGCACGACATATAGAAGTGATCCAGAGTCTGCGAGCCACGAAGTTCGCAAACCATGGTTTTCTTCTGGGTTGGTAAAAACATTGTGTGTATTTAGCACCTTTATTTTTGCCTACATCCAGAAAGTATGAGTTGCAGCTATCAGATAGCTGTTTTCGAGCAAGACAAAAGAAGTCAGAATAAGATAGAGGTATGTCTAGTTGTTGATGATTGGTGGATGCGTCTTTCGCCGCCCTGTCCACTTCCTCGTTTCCATCGATACCTGAGTGACCAGGGATCCAAACGAGGGTAGATGGACGATTTAAATTAGAAAGGATTTTTAAGCGGTTTCTGATAGCAAAAATGATATAAGATTTAATTTTGTAGATGTTTTTAGAAGCTAGGTTTTTAAGAACACTAAGAGAATCTGAGAAAATGACCGTATTAGAAAGATTAGAATTTATAATGTAATCTAAAGTAAATACAATTGCAAAGGCTTCAAGAGAAAAAATTGAAGCATGTTTTGAAATTTTGAATTTAGAGGTTAAATTTAAAGAAGGACAAACAAAGGCGCATCCAAGCCAAGAGAGAGTTCTGCAAGCTTAGCTGGAAGAGGATGAGTGGAATTTGAATAAACTCTGTAAAGATATGTTTTAGCAAGGTAATTAAATCTACTTCTTAAAGGGGGTTCACAACATTCTGCAAGCATTACGTTATTTGGGGTGCTCTGTCTGTAGCCTATGGCTAGTCGCAGAGCTTGGTTACGAATCTTTTCTAAACGCGAAAAATTTTTATGAGACTTAAAGTTAGAGCCTTGTGAACCATAATCAATAGGGCTTCTAATTAGTGAGTCAAAAATGCGAAGTAAAAGTTGAGGATCTGCTCCCCACCAAGTACCTCGAAGCACCTTTAGTACATTTAAAATCTTTCTACTTTTATCACACAAATAGTTAAAATGAGTATCAGAGGAGGAAGATTGATGAAAGTGTATGCCGAGATATTTAACTGAAGGACATGGTTTAATAATATGATTATTTAAAGATAATGAAAGGGTTGGATCATTTAGATCAAGTTTTTTATTACTAAAGATAACAAATTTGGTTTTGACTAGACAAACTTCCAGACCTCCCTCAGACAAGTGATCCGAAAGGGAGTTAAGGCTATTTTGAAGGGAGTTAATTACTTGATTTAAATTTGGGGAACGACATGAAACTGATAAGTCATCAGCAAACTCGTAAATTTCACAATCCGCGGGAATAATAGTATTCAGATTCCTAGTGTATATTGCGAAATTAATTGGACTAAGAATGCTACCTTGTGGAAGGCCAACAGTGCTAGTTCTTGGACCAATAACCACGCCATTAATCTTGACATATATGTTTTTACATTTTATTGAATTGTATATAAAGCGAGATATTGATTCCGGAATGCCAATTGATTTAAGATCTTTTACTAAAATATTTGGAACTACGCTAGGGAAAGCACCCTTTATGTCTAAAAAGAGAGCACCGACAAATTCACGTTGAGCTAAGCCTGACCAAATTTCTGTCGAGATTAAGGCAAGATTATCCGTACAAGATTTGCCCTTCCGAAAACCGAATTGGTAAGGACTAAGGATTTTATCGCGTTCTATAAGCCAAGTGAGTCTATTATAAATAAGTTTTTCTGCGACTTTAAAGAGACAAGAGGCCAAAGAAATAGGTCAAAATTTACCAGGTGAAGATGAGGATTTTGGAAGGAAAAAGATAAGAAAATTGTTCCAAGAAGGAGGAAAAGTTCCTCTGGAAATTATTCTATTAAAGATTGATAAGAGGGGTGATAGGGACTCCTCTGGAAAATGTTGAATAATATTAAAATCAATTTTGTCAAGGCCTGGGGAGGATTTAGTTTTACAAGATTTAATTACTATTAATAGTTCTGATAAAGAAAAGGCTGATTCTAGAAATGGGTTATTATCGAAATTATTGGGAAAATTGTCGTGGAATTCCGTAGGGGGATAGAGATCATCCACAAGGGAGTGGAGTTTATCTATCGTTTCTCTATCTGCTGAGCATGAAGCTGTTGCAGGTTGAGTAAATCGGTTTTTAAAAGACTTTATTATGGCCCATATTTTTGTTAAAGGAGTATGTCTGTCCAGGGAATCGCAGAAGTTTTTAAATGATTGACGTCTAGCCTCACTAAGCGTGCGCTTAGCTATGGCTTCCGCTTTTTTATAATTAAGAAAATTTGAGTAATTAGCTAACTTTTTATAATTTTTAAAAGCTATTTTTCTATTATTAATGGCTTCATCGCATTTATTGTCCCACCAAGGTGCAGGAACAAAAGGTTTTCTGGAAGAGGTAGCATTCTTATTCGCGGGAGCGTTTTTCCGTTGAGGACATGCTGTTTTAATTGACAAGTCAACGAGTTCTACAAAATTATTATAATCAGAGATAGGATTATCAGTGTATAAAATATCAGAATTTGACTCCACGGATGAACGCAGTGTGGTGGAGAATAGGGTCCAATTTATATTTCTTAAATTATATTTGTGAGAGGAAAAAGATGCCATTGGTATTGAAATGCCCAATGACGAAAGAATAGGTAGATGATCACTACCAGCGGATCGTCAAGGACATTCCAAGATGAGGATGTGAAAAGGTTTGAAGAGACGAGAGTAAGATCCAATGCAGAACCGAGATTAGGTGGCCGGTCTACCATGGTAGGTGAGCCATCATTTAAGAGGATGAGGTCCATCTCATCCAGTTCTTCACATAAGTTACGCGCATTGGGACAGACATAAGAGCCTCCCCAAAGAGTGCTATGACAATTAAAATCACCTCCGATAAAAACGGAGTTGAATCCAGAATTTTTGATTGAATTAAAGAAGCGTTTCCAATAATTAAGGGGGGTTTGTCTACCAGGGACTCTATAAACAGAAACTATTAATAATTCACCCATAGAAGAGTCAATTGAGACAGCGAGTGTTTCAAGTTCGTCTTCCTGAGTAAAAATTGTTGAAATTTTTGAAAATATCAAGTTTTTGCGAATGGCGATAATGAGACCACCACCCTTATTTACTATTCTGTCGCTTCTAATAATATTAAATTGTTTTAAAATTTTTAAATTATGGTTTTTATCGGGTTTTAAAAAGGTTTCGGAAAGAAGGAGGACGTCGAATTTATTAGAGAGACTTTGAATTTCGGGTGCCTTTTTAGAGACACCTCGGCAATTCCATTGCAGGATATTTATTTTAGACAATTGATCCATTAATGTTGTTGTTTACGGAGTTGAACAATAAGATAATGCTTTCTATAATAGTATTAAGTAGACTTTCGTTGTGTTTAGTTTTTTCTGGTGAAGAACTGGATGAAAGTTGTGTGACATGATCTTTGATCATGGAGATTAGGAATGAAGGGAAGGATTCGTGGTTGGAAGTTTGATCAATAGTGTTAGATGTTGAAGGATTAGACATGGAACGAGATGCAGAGAGGGCAAAACCATTAGGAAGATCGCTACCGTCTCTACCATTGTTCCATTGTGTTGCGTAGAAGGAGTTAGTTCTTTTCCGTGACTGGGGCGTGCCAATTTTTTGGGTGGCAGGTCCAATCATGGGACTTCTCCGTTTTTGAGATGAGAGATTTGTGATGTCTGAAAAAAGTTGAGAAGAGTTTTGATTTGTCGAAGAAGGAGCTGGGATTTCTCCAAGCTGTGGAAAATTTGAGAAATTGAAAGAGTTCGGGGTTACACCTGTGTTTCTAGGTCGAAGGATAGCTTTTGCTTCAATGAAGGAGAGTCTGTGTATGGTAGCGTAAGTACGGATTTCCTTTTGAAAGGTGAATTCCGGACAATCCTTGGATCTAGCCAGATGAGGACCAGAGCAGTTTACACATTTTGGTGTCTTTGAAGTGTTTGGACAAGGGTTGGTTGTATCATGGGTGGTGTTTTCCCCGCAGGACTTGCATCGTGGTTGAGAGCGACAGTGTTTGGCGATGTGGCCAAACCTAAAGCATTTCATACATATACGAGGGTTCGGAAAGTAAGGACGAATGGGACTTGACCCTTTGTAGACCGCTACTCTTTGAGGAAGGACCGTACCCTGAAAGGTCAGTAGGACGGTTTTCGACGGAACGAACTTAAACTCCTTGGTTTTTTCGTCGTAAACTTTGCGATTAAAACACCGCGCTTGGATAATTTTGATTTTATTTACGTGTGGGCCCATAACCTCACCATACTCAATAATTTCCTCAACTGTAATATCCGTGTCGACATCGTTCATAATTCCCTGACAAGAAACGAAACTTGTAGGGATAATGCCTATCAGACCGTGAGATGACAGCTGGGGGTGATTGAGTAGTTGATTCGCCACTTGACCCGATTTTACGGTAACTCTAAGGGTGCGATCCCATGTGAGCAGAATACGTCGACCGAAAGCAGAAAATCATGAGAGTGAAAAGAACAACAATATCTACTTATCTCTTTTGCACTCATGATTTTCTGCTTTCGGTCGACGTATTCTGCTCACATGGGATCGCACCCTAACTTTACCCCGTCCACTTTGATTAATTTCGACGATTTTGTTTGGGAATAACGGATGAAGGATACGACCGACGGACATAGGGCCGAGGTCCTTTTTAAAATCAGCTGATTTGGGATCTTGTTGGATAAAAATTGCACAGTTGCTTTTCAGAGAATTATCATAGCTGAGTGTCTGATTAGTGTTTGTGTTAGTTTTGTCAGATGTGTCCGAGTTTGTTTGTTTTGTGCGCTGAGTTGGTGAAGGATTTTCCTTAGATACGTCAGAGTCGTGAGTTTCAGATGGTTTAATAATATGCGAATCATTGTTGCAGTGTTTTTTCTCCACACTACACTACATAAATTCGACTACGCTTCGGTAGGAAAATCACGATTCACAAAAGACGGCAATATGCACAAATAGCGTAAACTTTCATTACGAATGTAACACACGATGCGCTCGGTATCACCGCTCGCGAGGAACCGGGTATGTTACGAGGACATATGAGTTTTATGCGCAAACTCCGCGTGCTCTTGTTTGATTCGTTGAGTTCATACTTTGGCTGAATCCTTAAGAGGAACCGGGAATTACAAATAATAAAACAATAATATTCCGTTAAAACGGAGGGAAAACCTCACAAGCAAAATGGATCAATTAACAATTAATAATATTAATTATTAATGGAAACCAGTCTTCTTGAGACCTTGTCAGTCAACCGTCAACTTAGATCTAACTTCTAGTCTTGTAGTTATCCTCTAGCAGAGTTGTTCTCAGCTGTTAGTCCATGTTGAGGGAAGTGCGCATGTTAAAAGTGACGCGCATCCCCCACTTTACTATACACTTTTATGCACTTCACTAACCCAAATACAGTTCTAAAAGTAATGTAAAATTGGGTTTTTCCAATACGTGACAATTTTTAAGGTAAAAGGATCGAAAGTTTTTAGATGTACAATTTCGGTAGTTATTACCTGAATAGAGGATCTGGTCTATAAAACTAAGATGTTCTGATTTTATGACTTTCTAAAGGATATATACTTTTGGGTATATTTTACAATTGTACATAGTGTTAGAAAAACAGATAATTTTGGAAGGAATCGAAGAGTTTAGATTTTATAAGAAACACATTTTTCTTAATCCGGATTAACTTTATGATGTTTTAGAAATACTTTTGGGTTTCTTAAAAGTGGAAATATTCATTCTTTAAGCTATATAAAATAACATCTGTTAAAACATGAAAATATGTTTGGGTATTTTATTATACTATATTCTTTAGTCGTTCTCAGTCTCAGGTTTATATTTATTGAAATATAAATGGAAATATCCTTTCTTAATAATTTTGATTTCACCGCGACATACAATCGTGATTCGATTAATCTCGAAGTGTGATTCGAGCGAGATAGTAGTCGCTCGTCACAGTCCGTCGACCGTCTCGAGTCACATGACGTCCAGTTTCGCTCTGAGCATGTGGTTTTATCGTTGGGTGAATGTCGTGATTGTTTGTTATTTATAAAAAGTGCGTGTGCGAATCACAGTTTTGTTTATTTTATGTTTTATAAATATTTGTTTTTGTTTTAACTCGTTTTTAAATTGAACAATTAAAAAATATAACGGTCATATCGAACAAGAGTATTTAAAGTTGATTTGCTTCGAATAGATAGGCTCTTAGACGCAGTCCAAATTGTTAATTTATTATATTATACAGTTGACTTTTGTTGAATTTGTGTTGAAAAGTTTATATTTATTACGAATTATGATCTCAGCTAATGTTTATTATAGGTTATATAGGAGGTTATGTATGTTCAAGACTAAAGAGAAAAATGTTCAGTATTAATGCAAAAATTTTAATGAAATATTTTTAAATTTAACCTTAGATTTTTGTATTTAATTTTTTACAATATATTTATCATAAATAATCCTTAAAAAACGCACGAGACTCGCATTTCACTCTCATGCATCATGCACCTTTATGACATGCGAGCGTAATGCGTCTCATATGAGGACGCATCTGTCAGCGTCAGTGAAGGCACGAGTGCGAAAAGAAACCTCATACATGCGAGCATATCAATCTCAAATTGTTATCTGGGATAACGGATTAACTCCGCTAAGGTCTCATTTTGAAGGGGTGAGCGAGAGTAACAAATACATATGAATGCCATTTTCCAAATAACTACCCTTTATGAAATACACCCCTTCAAAAAATGCCAAAAATTAAAACAAAGGTATAATTTCAAGAAAATTTTTTTTTCGGCTATCAAAGTAACATATGTTTTAAAATATTGTAAACTTTGTAAAAAAATTAATAACAAAATTTTACCTCAGGGTAAAAAAAATTAATGAAAACTACCCCAAAAAAACGAAACAATTTAAAAATCTACCAAATTCGCCTAAAATTTATTACTCGGGGGTGTTAGCAAATTTTATTATTTTCTTTTAAAAATGTGGCCCTATGTTGAGTTGGTACGTGTGTGGCATGAGTAGGGATAAAAGCCAACGCAGAATAGATCTATAACCGGAACCGCAATCGTAAGCGTAACCGTAAGAATGAGTTAAAGAAGGATAGGTATATTGTTTATCCTTCTCTAACTCATTCTTACGCTTACGGTTACGATTGCGGTTCCGGTTACAGATCTATTCTGCGTTGGCCTTAAGAGAGGGCTTAGAGGCAGTTCGCTGGTGAAAGCGAGAAGCGCGAGAAGCGCGTTCGACTCTATTCAGGAGAGTCCAGAATAGAGTCGAAGTTCGACTCTATTCTGGACTCTCCTTCACGTGACCAACGCGCTTCTACCGACGTTCACAAACCCTATTCTGGACTCTCCTAGAGAGTCGAGATCGTCGGGCGAGAAGAATTCGAGAAGACTGTGTGTCTTGAAATTGTTAGAGAAAGCGTCGAGTGTGTGAAATAGTCTGTGTGACTTTTCATTATTGAAATTATAATTATCGGCTGAGTGACCATTATTATTTATTTTTAATTAATATTCATTTTAAATTTTACTAATTCTTTTATTCATTAAGGTATTTGTCACGTAAATTCGTTTTCGTCAGATTTTTTTTAAATTTCACATAATTATTCTTTGGATATTTATCTACAACCCAGCAAACACTGTTACAGATCTGTTACAGAACTGTGACAAATAATTGAAGAACATGTTCTGTAACTGGTGACTCACAGGGGACTCACTGGATACGCAAAATGTCGTAGTCAGGGGGATGTCACAGTTAAGTAACAGATCTGTAACATGGTGATAAAGATACTTGTCACAGTTCTAGAACAGTTACAAATATATGTTACTCATATCTGTCATTAAAAAATATTTAAATTAAAATTAAAAAAATATTCCACGCTGTTCTCGCATGTCATACATACCCAGAATGTTTATACATGTCGAAGAAAATTTGTTTTGCTATTTATTTAAATATTTACAATCACGAGGTCTCGAACGCAAGACGCAGCTAGGAGTGGATTAGAAATCAAACGCTCTACCAACTGCGCCACGGAGGCTCATGAAAGGAAGTTTAGAATTTACATATATAACGAAAAAACTATGAAAATGTACTTTGTAACTTGAAAAAGGATACTGTGTTTGCAACAATAGTATAATTATGTTATGTATAATATACATTATATTTAATAATGTTAATTGAAAAATGTAAATTTTCAAAGTAACAAGTATAAGGAAAGGCTTAAAAATTAATTTTTAAATGAAAGATTAAAGCAATAAATTTAAGCTTAATTAATGAAATTTCTAAATTTTTAGAACAAATTTATATTCTATAACTTTTCATTTAAATATAAATAGATTTTACAAAATAATAAATTTTCCTGCTATTACGCGTATTATCTAGTATTATAGGGTATTACACGGAGAAAAATTATTTTTAATGATTACAATAGTCTACATTACAGCTCGGATATGTGACCACTTTTTGGAATGATTACGAAGACTATGTAATATGTTAAGAATTTAGTAGGAACGATTACTATATAGCTGTTGTAAGGGATACCTTTATGTTTGTACTCTAGGGTGGTCCTTAAAAAGGTTTTTTTCGAATTTCTTTGCTCCCAGGGGTTTAAATGCTTCCAAATTAATAAAAAAAAATTCCCTAAAAATTTGAGCTCTTAATATTAACTTTTAGATAGTCCGCACTCAAACTTAAGTTTAAAAAATTTTTTTTTATTTTTTTATTTTTTATTAATTTATTTTGATAAAATTTGGAAGGTGAATCAATACTGAGGAGTATTACGGTCACAAACACCTAAAATCAGACAAAAGGATCTTCAAAAATATCGAAACAAATATTTTTTAGCAACTTTTGAATTTTTGAAAAAAATCGATGATTTTTGTATTTTTATAAATAACTTTTTTATCTATTAATATTTTCATTAATTCTTGTCAAAATTACATTCCTGACATGAAAACAAATCGATTAATGTATGGGGCATTCCAGGCCAAATCGGAAATTATTTTGCTTTTGCATCTTAAATTTTTTTTTAACATTTTTTTTAGTACTTTTTGAAATGAGCTACCTTGATTGTTTTCAAATTTTTTCATAAAGCGGTTCAGGAGATCCAGATTTTTGAAAAATAACGTTTTTTACGTAAATTTTTTTTTAAATGCTTATAACTCGGTCAAAAATTGATCAAATTGTTGGACGTTTTTATAATAGAAATTTAAAAAAAAATTTAAATAATTTACAATAAGATTTAAAAATTTTTAAAATAAAATTTCATTTTTAACAATATATGTATCCATCAATTTTTTCAAAATTTTTTGTAAGAAACTAGCGCTAAATTAACAATTTTTAAGCCTTGTCCGATGAAATGACTAACTTGCCATTTGACAAAATCACACAAATTCTTCACAGCAAATGTGTTTTTAGGCTGAGTCTCTCCAAACTTAACCTTCTTTCTGTGTAAAATTGAGATTTGGTCAAATGACAAGTTTGGCCTACCGTTTTCACTGTGTATATAAACATTAAAAATTTCAAATTAAATAGATCCCATCGTTTTCCCACGATCAGACAAGGCTTAAAAATTGTTAATTTAAGCTAGTTTCTTACAAAATATTTTTAAATAAATTGATTGATACATACATTGTTAAAAATTAAATTTTATTTTAAAAATTATAAAATCTTATCGTAAATTAGGTATTTAAAAAAATTTTTTTAATATTTGTATTGAAAACTACGGGTGAAAACAAAACTTTTCATTATAAAAACGTCCAATTTGATCAATTTTTGACCGAGTTATAAGCATTTAAAAAAAATTTACGTTAAGGTATTAGTCGCGTAAAATGGTTTTCGTCAG